GAACCCAGGAGAGAGGTGGTGGGTGCTTTGGGAGGAAGGGTTGGTGAAAGGGCTGGAGGGAGGCAGCATGTTTGGCTTTGCAGTAATAGGCCTTGGGTTACTGCTGGTAATCCTGTCTTCCTCTTGTGAGATTAGAGGAGGTCAGGACATGTGGCCTCCTTGCCGTTTTTGCAGATGTGCTATAAGAATGTCCATATAAATAGAACTAATAGGAGGCAAAGTTATAACTTCTTAGCTATAGGCAAGCACACTGAGAGAGAGAGTTGTTGGGCCCATGGGTTTGGAACCATGGTTGTGGGGGGCATCAAGCTCAATAGGCATAACATACTACATAGAAACTCTCTTCTACATCCTATTTTGGTGAGTAGCAATTGGAGTCTTAAAAGCTTGCTATCAGCCATCTAGATGCAACAATTGGTCTCTCCTCATCTGGAACAAAAAAAATTAAAGAATCCAAAGAGGCATGGAAATAATTAGTTCAAGGGCCTAGTGGACCTATATGACTTTGAGACCAGAAGAACAAGATGGTACCCAGCTACCATGGTCAACCACTTGGACATGGATCAGTGCAGGAGATCCTGGATAGAGTGGAAGAAAAATGTGGAACGAAATTCAAAAGCATAAAAAAAGACCAGGCTTACTGGTCTGATAGAGACTGGTGATTCTCCTGAGACTATACCCCTAGTCACCCTTCGGGCCTGGAATTGGACTCAGTCTCATGGCTTCCAGCCAAACAATAGACAGGCATATTAGGTGAACATTGACACCAGGTAGGTACACTCCTTAGAACAATCAATCATGGGAGATCAGAAGCGTAGTATTTTTACAGGGAGATAGTAGCTCAGAGGGTGGGAATGCACAGAAAAGGACACAGGGAAAAGGTAACAACGGTAACCACAAGGAGGAAGTGGGAAAAAAACTGTTATGTTATGGGGATTGCAACCAATGTCATGAAACAAAATGTGTATGAACTGTTGTATGGAAAATGAATTTGCTCTGTACACTTTCACTCAAACCACAATAAAATAAATAAATAAAAAGTTTTTAATGCCTTAATTACATGTTCTTTAATCATGGAAATTGGGATGTAGAATCTCCATTATGTTGTCTAGTAGGTCCGGCTTCAGAGTTGTCTAATAGTTTAGTATATTTATACTTAGTATTTTTGAATAAAGACATCATTGTAATAAAAGAGGCTCTTGGCATTTCTATTTCTGTCTGTTTGGCTCCAGGGAAAGCTTCCAGGGGAAGCAGGCACGTCTAAAACATTAATAATGTGGCAATGGCCACATTTCTAATGAAAGTTCTGGTCTATTACCTGTTTTCACAATTTATTTTTTCTATTTAGTAACAAAACTTGTAAAGTCCCCCCCCACCCCCGCCGCCCCGTTAAACTGTATTTCTTTACACAGAAGACTAAGTTTATCTAGCTTAGAGAGAAAAACAACAAAACAAATGTAGACTCTTTTGAGTTCAAAATCAGAATCGTAAATTGCATTTCTAAGTTCAACATTTAAAGCCTAAGATTTTCTATTGTTCAAAGTAGAGGCTGATATATAGAAAATATCAAAAAGTAATCAAAACAGCACCAACTAATTTTATTTAAGAATAGACTTTATAATCCAATATGAACTATGTTTAATTCAGAGGAACTTAATTTCAACCTCCTCTGAGATATAGTAGTGATATTTATTAGAAATTGAAGTTGAATTACACACAGGGTTTTCTGGGAAATATTTTGACTGAATGTCTATACATACCATCATAGCTATAAGAGCACAAATGTAACTCTGTTTCATAATAAACTGGAACACAGAGACCATGGCGTGAACTTTAACACTTCTTTTTTCCTCATAGCTCCTTTCCTCTTCAAATTCTTCTTTTTTGTTCTCTTCTTTCTTTTCTAGATGGACAAAAACTTTATATAACTACTTAGGCAAATATGTAATTTTGTATACATGTCTCAAGCAGTGCAGCACATGTATGATTTCAGCATAGGCTTTTACTTAAAACTTCTGAAATCTTTTCTATTTAATAAAACCCAACCCATTGCTATACAGTTGATTCTGACTCACAGCAACCCTATGGGACAGAATAGAAATGTTCCATAGGATTTCCAAGGCTGCCATTCTTTAAGGAAGCAGATTGCCACCTCCTTCTCCTGTAGAGTGGTTGGTGGATTCAAATCACAAATGTTTCGGTTAGCAGCTAAGTACTGTGCCACTTGTACTGGGCTCCTCCATTTAATAAAGCCTTTAGAATTCACACAGAATCACTGAGTAAGTGTAATGGAACCCAGTACTCGGAAATTTATGGGCCCTCAATGGTTCCTGCCTCCTGGTATTCATGCCTGTATGTAACTCCACCTCTTGAATGTAGGTGGGAATTGTGACTGGCTTCCTACAGATAGAACTCTCCAGAAGTGATGGAATGCTACTTCCAAGATGAGGTTAAAAAGGACTGTGGTTTTTACTGTGGGCAAAAACCCATTCTTTCACTCACTTGTTCTGAAAGAAGCCAGCTGTCATGTTAGGAGCCACCCTACAAACAGAACCAGTTGGCAAGAAATTGGACAGCAACTGAGACTGGCCAATAGCCACACAGTAATCTGAAAGCAGTTCTTCCCTTAGGTGAGCCTTCGGGTGAGACCATAACTCCTGCCAAAGTCTTGACTGCAAAGCCACGAGAGACCTTGAGCCAGGGAAACCCAAATTAATTGCATTCACAGCCTAGCTCACAGAAACTGTGAGGTAAGAGATATTGTAAATTGCTAACTTTGGGAGTAATTGTTTTCTCAGTACTAGATAACTAGTACACAGTATATATGGAATATGGATATAATGAAAATATGGAAAACCAAGCAACCAAATACAGATCCATTTTGCCAAAGTGAAATGTGTGGTCCACAACTTCCTGTTAAGTTATGAAAGAGGAAGAAATTCATGCTGAGGATGTATGTTGTTGTTGTTGTTATGTATCACCAAGTTGGACCCAACTCATAGCGACCTCTCCTTGGGTTTCCGAGGCAGTATCACTACAGAAGTAGATTGCCCAACCTTCCTTCCGAGGAGTGGCTGGTGGGTTTGAACTTCCAGCTTTCTAGTTAGCAGTCAAGTGCCTTGGGCACTATGCAACCAGAGCTCCTTGAGGCTATATAGAAAGCTCAAATACTGGCAGGAGAGGATATATGATGGTGTTGGGGAGAGAAAAGCAACAACAGAAAAGTTCTGGAACAAGTGTGAAGAAAAGGCCCTACAGTTGTAATGAAATCTGTTGTAATATCACAGATGAAGTAATAAGAGATATACTTAAGGGAAATGTTCCTTCTCTCTTTCTTGTTCAAATTAAATGGGTTACACAGAAATGGGCTAGAGCAGGGAGTAAAGTGTAGTTTCCATGCATACCTACCCCTGTAGGTGTCTTATGGGAGCCTCCAAAGGAGGCTTTGGCATTTCTGTATGCAGAAGCTCACTGCCTTACCTTCCTCTAATGAATGCCAGGGTAGGAGAAGCCTTGGTTTGATATGAGAAAGTCCATGGAGCTTAGGGGTGTCAGGAGAAACAAATTCTGGTGGATTTTTTTCCCCAAAAATGGTGTATCAGCAAGTTTTATTTCAAATTTCTTTTATTTTTAATGGAATATCCCCCTTGGTGAAGTGTCTATTCATGTCTTCTTCTAATTTTTTAGTTGGATTGTGTGTCTTTGTGTTATTGAGGTATTGGAGTTATCTATAAATTCTAGAGATAAGTGTCAGATATGTCATTAGCAAATATTTTTCCCCAATCTGTAGGTTTTCTTTTGACTCTTTTGGAGAAGTCTTTGGAAGCACATAAAAATTTAATTTTTAGAAGGTCCCAATCATTTGGTTTCTCTTCTGCTGCTTCTGCATTTTGAGTTATGTTTGAGAGTCTATTCATGCCATATATTAGGGCCCCTAAATTTGCCCCTAGATTTCCCTTGAGGAACTCTATAGTTTTAGGTTTCACATTTAAGTCTTTGATCCATCTGGAGTTAGTTTTTGTGTATGGTGCAAGGTACAGATCTTGTTTCATTTTTCTGCAAATGGATCTCCAGTTTTGCCAGCACCATTTATTAAACAAACATTCTTTTCCCCATTTAATGGATTT